ATCCAGTTTGGCGGCGAATGCAAATCAAGCTGACAAGAAACTCGCTACACTCCACACACAATTTCACGCGAACTTCCAAGGTGTCAGACAATGATGTGTTTCATCTCTTCCAAAAACCTGGTAGCTCCAGAAGTTTTAATTTGGACACTTGAATTTAATTTTGACACTTTAATTTACAAACTGGACACGGGTATTTTTAATTTTGACACCTTAATTTACAAACTAGACACGTGTATTTTTAATTTTAAGATCTGAGTATAGAAACCTAAATAATTAAGTTTGATACCTACATTAATGTAACTGTTTTAATTTATAAAACGGTTTAATATTTTACGTTTCTATGTAGACTTAAAGTACAGGTAACCTAAAGTTTATTTTAAATACAAGTATGAGTTCTTTTCAAAAAAAAACTATAGCATCAGCAATGAGAATAGTTTGAGAATTTTAAATTATAATCAGCGGCAGATAAAGAGCTGTAGATCTAGTTTTAATTTATCTTAGCACAAATCCACAGAACCTAATTACACAAACTTTACACACATCAACAATTTTTTGTTTCTAGATTATACTCTACCGTTTTTAATTAAATGAAATAAATATCTTAATTTCTCAAAGGAAGTTATAAAAATAATCTATTTTAAATATAATGAACCTACCTATAAGCGAACACGGCTAATTCCGATTGTATCTTAAATTCGACAAATTAACAATTATTACAAATCCTCGCAATTTTTTTTTTATTTCCAAGATCTATTTATAAACTATCCTATCGAATAATTTCATTAGCGAGATCTCCTATCTATACAGACTATAACGAGAGGCAGCTTCGGTTCCAGAAAAAGATCCTATAATGTTTAGCAATCCACTCGAGTAGTGTCCGTAAGGCGAGGCAACTGCGTGTTTCAATCTTTCCGCCAGTTCTCTCCCCTTCTGCCCAGCACAAGTTGTAGAATCGTTGGGATGATGGCGGTCCGTTTTAAACAGGGGGACATGGGAAATAACTCGGCCACCGTAGTAAAACACGTCTTTGTATATCCAATACAGGGGGGTGAATCATGTTAAAGTACGAAATAACATTCTTGAAATTAATCTGATTGGATTACTGTAGCCTTATTAAATTAACCCAGGGGTGGGGGGTTTTTTTAGGATGAAATGGGTAAGCTAATTTTGGAAGTCAAATAAGAGAGATTAGTTTTTGTAAGAGTTTGCTGATTTTTGTTGTATGGAATTTTAAAGAATTCTGTATTCATTTTAAAAGCTAGCTATAGACATGAACAATGACAAACGATGTCTACTAAAATAAATACAGACAGAAGAAACGTGTCATTTGGCATTCGACACCTAGCAAATTAAAGTTTTGCTGTCTGAAATTTGATAAGTGAAAATATATGAAAATGTCATCGACAAACGATGACACGTTTTCTTAAATCATAAGCATTGTTAATGATGTTAATAATGTACGTTTTAGGATTAACCTACAAGACATGCTGGATTAAACGCCCACTTAATAAACTTACGAAACCCCATTTTCGCAAAAACAGAAGTAAAAGATCATAACGGAGAACTAGGAAAATTAAAATATGCCTATATAAAGTAGCGACCGTGTTTCGCCTCTTACTTTATGTGTATGTGTGTGTGGCAGTGTGTTTCCATATGCAAAACCAAGTCTGTTAAATTCTCTACGTAAACACTTTATAAAAACATGGATTATTCAGGCAGTCATTAAAGTTCAGCCATCAGACAGACACAGATAGACACAGACACGCCCAGACACACACATAGACACTCATAGACACACAAATAGACACTTACAGACACATACACAGAGATTTATATACACAACACAGTCACTCCCAGATACACACATAGACACTTCCAGACACACATAGACACTCACAGACACACATAGACACACACAGAAACTCATAGACACTCATAGACACACACAGACACTCATAGACACTCATAGACACACACATACACACACACTCATAGACACACACAGACACTCATAGACACACAGAGACACTCATAGACATACACAGACACATACAGACACACACAGACACTCATAGAAACACACATACACACACACTCATAGACACACACAGACACTCATAGACATACACAGACACATACAGACACACACAGACACTCATAGAGAGACCCTGAATAAGGGGAAGATAACTTTTAGGTTAGAAAAAAGATACCACATTCTATGAATTTAACGAAGGCTAAAAACCTATGACCTTGTTGTTAGTCTAGAAAATGGACAGTGAAACGACATCACTCTAACGAAGTAGTCTAAACCGGCTGACGATTGATAGTTGGAAATTACAAAACGGTTTTTATAATTTCTCTGAATATATCCCCCACCCCACCCCCAATTTCCAAACCTCTAGAGTTGTTGTAATACGAGAAAAATTATTGCCATCAAGTTCAAACTTTAATCGCTGTCAAACTTTATCAGCAACCCAAGTCCACTCCCACCCCATGTACTCCAGTCGATAGAAAACGCTGACTGGCATTCCCATAAATATCACATAACAGCTCTCCATTTTATCTGACTACTTCAGTCACTGCCCTACATCGAACGCTACCCTCCCGAATAGCCCAGTCAAACATGTTGATGTTCGTCCAAATTATAGGCCCAACGCTCCACATTCAAGCGCCGTAACTCATCTCGTAATTGCTGCTGACATAAAACGGATTTTCTCCCCTTGTAATCTATGCGAGTCGTCCTGAAATGAACAGGAACTCGATTTATTTTTATCAATGACCTACTTTATTTCAGTCAATTTTTTTTTAAATAAAAAAAACAGTTGTCAATGATAAGTGGACTCTTTTAATCATTCAATATGAATGGCTTTTTTTATGATTTTTAACTTAATGTTTACAACGATATTTTAAAGCTAATACAGTGAAAGACAAAAGTAAGCCTATTCAAAGCTGTAAAAGTGTAAAATATCACCTTGATTGAGTCTTTAATGTACTAGACTGTACATTACATTTTAAACTAGTAAAACATTACAATTTTACCAATTCATTAAGGTAGAAGACTGTTCACCCAATGTTTGAATACGTTCACACTTTTAAGCAGATATATTTTAACTCTCTCAGCAGCAGTATGTATGAGTTGCCAACCATTAAAATAAAACATATTATACACACTGAGATAATGAAAACTAATTAGATCAAGGGAGTGAACGTAAAAAAAAAGTAAGAGGAATAACTCCAAGAGGATAATGGTGGCATTGGCCCAGTTAAAGGACACGCGATGATGGAAGTAACGACGGAAGAACCATTAGTGGGTCTCTTCATAGGAGAGGGGAGGGGGGGGGGGTTAAAAGTTCGCATGATCGAGTATTTGGACAGTATTAATTCTTGATTTAATTAGATTCATTGTGGAGACCTTCATAGGTGGCACACTCTGAGGTATCAGTACATCGGGATAAAACATTTAATAAACGTAGTCCAAGTATATAAATATATATATATATATATATATATATATATATATATATATATATATATATATATATATATATATATATATATGAAACATTCTATTGAATAAAGTGGGGTTTTTTGTTTTGTTTTTTTTATTCTAAGATGTACTTTTTCTGTGATAGCCGATGTCATTAACAGAGCCGCTAAGCACCTAAAATTTAAGTCTAAGTTGACAAGGAGTAAACCACAGATAATGTGAGTAAAGACAACTATTACACACAGGCCAAATCTGCAACAGATTCGGTTTTCTTAAACAACAGATGTTACATCACTTAAAACTACCTCTAGTTTCGATCCATCGAATCCCGTACCTCAAAGACAAAATAATAGAACTTTTTATTTTAAATTGTAGGTTGTAGCAATAATGTATGTTGAAAACATTATCTCTATAGCTCCGATACATATCTATACAGTCTTCACGTAGGTCTACAACCTACTATAAAATTAAATCATTCAGATATATTGCTTAGTGATGTCGCTTTTAAATAGGGGAAGAATTAATTAAAATAAAAAGGATGAAAAAATTAGTAGACAATGTCTAGATACACGGTAACATTATATAGACAGTGTCTAGATACACGGTAACAGTATGTAGGCAGTGTCCAGATACACGGTAACATTATGTAGACAGTGTCTAGATACACGGTAACAGTATGTCGACAGTGTCTAGATATATGGCTACATTATGTAGGCAGTGATATAAGGCTTCACAGGGCTAAATAGTGTCTAAATTCATGACTGCTGTTTATCAAATGTTCACGTTTATTGTTATTTATTTTGTTATTAGGGGTCGTCCATAAATGACGTCACACTCGTAAGGGGAGGGGGGTCCGTAATTTTGTGACGATGTGTGATGAGGGGGAGGTTCAGATGGTGTGACGTCACTTTTTTGCATTATAAAAAAGCAATGTTAGAAAACGAGTTTTAGCCGTTATTTCATGTTTTAGAAAATGGTTTTAATAAATTGTAATAAGATTTGAACAAAATGCTCTATGTTGACAGAGTTCTGACAAGATGTTAGAAAAATATCGATGTTTTAAGAAAAATTCAACAGCAATTTTGAGGGGTGGGGGGGGGTCTGGCTTTTTGTGACGACGTGTGACGGAGGGGAGCAGGAGGTAAAAAATCGTCCAAAAAAGCGTGACGTCATTTATGGATGACCCTTTATTAGATCTAATTTAAACTTTAACTTCAAACGGGGTTTTTAATCTAGAATTTTTAATATTTTAAAAAACAAGGGAGCAAACTAAAATACCACACTTTTAATTTTAATACCCCGGTTACTTCCCCTAATACAAATATTTAACCACAAGGTTAAAATTGAGTAACTAAATAACTATTAACATAATATAATTTATATTTTGTACAAGTTAGAGTATTCTTGTTAGCAAAATATTAAAGGATTGAATACACTGTAAGTTATGATTGTTTTTATTAGTTCCTTAACCTTTTCCTTGGCGCTCTTCTTTTTTTACATTTCTTTGCGTACACAAATTTCCGTGACGTCGGAGACAATATGGAGGATTAGAACAGATCGTACAATTACAATGTAACTTGTTCAAATATACATCAACATTTCACCCCTAAGGTAAATTAGACCACTCAACACGCCGTTTATTTTTAGGTGATCCTCTACTATCTGTCACATTCGATATAATTTCTTAATTTCTTCCCTTTGACTTGACTGAAGTGTATAACATGATAGGCGGGGTAAGATCTTTATAGTTTACTTGTATGGCTATAATCAACAGCGGTACCCTATTTAAAATACAATAATCTGTTTCCTCTGCAACTAGATTTAGATCTTGGATAAATCTATCACAAAAATGTGCACACCATCTTGTAGTGGCTGTGATCGAAACTGCTATTCGTGTCTCTGCCGCTAGAGTTTGTTAATCCCGAGAAATGTGTACATCATTATATCATGGCTGAGTTTAGAGCTAATTTCTTGCCCCTCTGACTAGAGCTTATGTATCCCAAGAAATGGGTACATCATTATATCATGGCTGAGTTTAGAGCTAATTTCTTGCCCCTCTAACTAGAGCTTATGTATCCCAAGAAATGGGTACATCATTATATCATGGCTGAGTTTAGAGCTAATTTCTTGCCCCTCTAACTAGAGCTTATGTATCCCAAGAAATGGGTACATCATTATATCATGGCTGAGTTTAGAGCTAATTTCTTGCCCCTCTAACTAGAGCTTATGTATCCCAAGAAATGGGTACATCATTATATCATGGCTGAGTTTAGAGCTAATTTCTTGCCCCTCTAACTAGAGCTTATGTATCCCAAGAAATGGGTACATCATTATATCATGGCTGAGTTTAGAGCTAATTTCTTGCCCCTCTAACTAGAGCTTATGTATCCCAAGAAATGGGTACATCATTATATCATGGCTGAGTTTAGAGCTAATTTCTTGCCCCTCTTACTGGAGCTTATGTATCCCAAGAAATGGGTACATCATTATATCCTGGCTGAGTTTAGAGCTAATTTCTTGCCCCTCTAACTAGAGCTTATGTATCCCAAGAAATGGGTACATCATTATATCATGGCTGAGTTTAGAGCTAATTTCTTGCCCCTCTAACTAGAGCTTATGTATCCCAAGAAATGGGTACATCATTATATCATGGCTGAGTTTAGAGCTAATTTCTTGCCCCTCTAACTAGAGCTTATGTATCCCAAGAAATGGGTACATCATTATATCATGGCTGAGTTTAGAGCTAATTTCTTGCCCCTCTTACTGGAGCTTATGTATCCCAAGAAATGGGTACATCATTATATCATGGCTGAGTTTAGAGCTAATTTCTTGCCCCTCTTACTGGAGCTTATGTATCCCAAGAAATGGGTACATCATTATATCATGGATGAGTTTAGAGCTAATTTCTTGCCCCTCTTACTGGAGCTTATGTATCCCAAGAAATGGGTACATCATTATATCATGGATGAGTTTAGAGCTAATTTCTTGCCCCTCTAACTAGAGCTTATGTATCCCAAGAAATGGGTACATCATTATATCATGGCTGAGTTTAGAGCTAATTTCTTGCCCCTCTAACTAGAGCTTATGTATCCCAAGAAATGGGTACATCATTATATCATGGCTGAGTTTAGAGCTAATTTCTTGCCCCTCTGACTAGAGCTTATGTATCCCAAGAAATGGGTACATCATTATATCATGGCTGAGTTTAGAGCTAATTTCTTGCCCCTCTAACTAGAGCTTATGTATCCCAAGAAATGGGTACATCATTATATCATGGCTGAGTTTAGAGCTAATTTCTTGCCCCTCTTACTGGAGCTTATGTATCCCAAGAAATGGGTACATCATTATATCATGGCTGAGTTTAGAGCTAATTTCTTGCCCCTCTTACTGGAGCTTATGTATCCCAAGAAATGGGTACATCATTAAATCATGGATGAGTTTAGAGCTAATTTCTCGCCCCTCTGACTGGAGCTTATGTATCCCAAGAAATGGGTACATCATTAAATCATGGATGAGTTTAGAGCTAATTTCTCGCCCCTCTTACTGGAGCTTATGTATCCCAAGAAATGGGTACATCATTATATCATGGCTGAGTTTAGAGCTAATTTCTCGCCCCTCTGACTGGAGCTAAAGTATCCCAAGAAAAGTCTACATCATCTATACATCTCTAAGCTTAGAGCTATGCCCTGGCTTTAAAACAAAACCTATCTACCCGTACAAGACCGAAGCCATGACAACAAGTGCTGCCACATCAAACAAGACAAACGACAGACGTGTCTTACTTTTATTCAACCTTCGCACTGCTTTTGGAATATACAGCTTCACTTATATGTGTCAATGAAAACCAGAGGCGTATCCAGGTTTTCGGTGTAGGGGGAGCGGAAATAGCAAAAAAAAGGCGCCGAATGTGTAATATCTTTTATATAAGTGTGTATATATATATATATATATATATATATATATATATATATATATATATATATATATATATATATATATATATATTAGCTGTATGATATTTCTTCGATGTGATGTAAAATAAATTTAAATTAGCACTCTGAAGAAATAAAAAAAAACACAATGTAGGCCGATGAAACAAACAAAAAATGGTTTCATACTAAACACACACACACACATATATATATATATATATATATATATATATATATATATATATATATATATATATATATATATATATATATATATATTTATATATATACACATATATAATCACACTAGAACCAAAAACAATAAACGGCATAATCTGTTTCGTAATCCTTGTAAAAAAAGATGCATAATAATTCCTGGGACATCTATTAAGACTAGCGAAAAGGGGCAATAATCAATATCTTAATATAAATATGTATATGTCTACATATTTTATTATAAATATCTAAACAAATCAATAACTACTAAAGAATCTAATAAAGTAGTTTAACACTTATTCGTTTTATTTTTAAATATTTTATCTACAATCAGAATTAAATATATTGTCATCAAAAATGCTAAACTTTTACAGCATAATGAAAGTTTTTTAAATCAGAGTTGGTATAAAATCCAGCTTTTAAATTTAGAAGTAAAAGACTCGGAATAATAGCCTACATCTAACTAAAGTATCGTTCTTACATTTCCGATCATGCACATTTTAATTAGCTACTGACTTTTAGTGTTCTTTAAAGATAATTTTTTGACATAATGAGAAGGTATGGGCTAGATCACTGTACTTTATTGCTCACACACATTTTACTGGTAATTGCAAGAACAATATTCACAGAGATTTACGTTTCAAATGTGCCGACCAAAGATAATTTTTTAACAAATTACAATGTTTAAAACTTTGAGTTTAAAAAGTTTCCAAAAAGGCGCCACTTTGCTAAAAATGGCCAGAGGGGGAGCGGCCGCTCCCCCTGCTCCCCCCCTGCGTACGCTACTGATGAAAACCTTCTAATAGAAGACACGAATCAGCGTTTTTCTCTGAACTGACAATTTTCAAGGTCTCTATGGACTTGGCCTGAGTTAATCAACTTCCTGATTGCCCAGACTGGTAATTACAGAAAAAAACTATTTTTAAAAAATGTATGGCGAAATTTATTAAACTGGTGTCTGAACGATGTTCTCTAAATAAAACCTTCAAATTGCTCTAAGCGATTTATGCTGTGATATGACGCAGATTAACTCATTATTAATTAGTTGAACGCTGATGAGTTCATCACAAGCTTGTGATAACCCACTTGGCGATTAACTACAATAGCACGCTCATCCTAAATTTAACCCGTGATCTGTCTAACTCTAACGCTTAAAGTTTTATAAGTCCCCGATCTGTCTAACTCTAACGCTTAAAGTTTTATAAGTCCCCGATCTGTCTAACTCTAACGCTTAAAGTTTTATAAGTCCCCGATCTGTCTAACTCTAACGCTTAAAGTTTTATAAGTCCCCGATCTGTCTAACTCTAACGCTTAAAGTTGTATAAGTCCCCGAACTGTCTAACTCTAACGCTTAAAGTTTTATAAGTCCCCGATCAGTCTAACTCTAACGCTTAAAGTTTTATAAGTCCCCGATCTGTCTAACTCTAACGCTTAAAGTTTTATAAGTCCCCGAACTGTCTAACGCTTAAAGTTTTATAAGTCCCCGATCTGTCTAACTCTAACGCTTAAAGTTTTATAAGTCCCCGATCTGTCTAACTCTAACGCTTAAAGTTTTATAAGTCCCCGATCTGTCTAACTCTAACGCTTAAAGTTGTATAAGTCCCCGAACTGTCTAACTCTAACGCTTAAAGTTTTATAAGTCCCCGATCAGTCTAACTCTAACGCTTAAAGTTTTATAAGTCCCCGATCTGTCTAACTCTAACGCTTAAAGTTTTATAAGTCCCCGAACTGTCTAACGCTTAAAGTTTTATAAGTCCCCGATCTGTCTAACTCTAACGCTTAAAGTTTTATAAGTCCCCGATCTGTCTAACTCTAACGCTTAAAGTTTTATAAGTCCCCGATCTGTCTAACGCTTAAAGTTGTATAAGTCCCCGAACTGTCTAACTCTAACGCTTAAAGTTTTATAAGTCCCCGAACTGTCTAACTCTAACGCTTAAAGTTTTATAAGTCCCCGAACTAACTCTAACGCTTAAAGTTTTATAAGTCCCCGAACTGTCTAACTCTAACGCTTAAAGTTTTATAAGTCCCCGATCTGTCTAACTCTAACGCTTAAAGTTTTATAAGTCCCCGAACTGTCTAACTCTAACGCTTAAAGTTGTATAAGTCCCCGAACTAACTCTAACGCTTAAAGTTTTATAAGTCCCCGACCTGTCTAACTCTAACGCTTAAAGTTTTATAAGTCCCCGAACTGTCTAACGCTTAAAGTTTTATAAGTCCCCGACCTGTCTAACTCTAACGCTTAAAGTTTTATAAGTCCCCGATCTGTCTAACTCTAACGCTTAAAGTTTTATAAGTCCCCGATCTGTCTAACTCTAACGCTTAAAGTTTTATAAGTCCCCGAACTAACTCTAACGCTTAAAGTTTTATAAGTCCCCGATCTGTCTAACTCTAACGCTTAAAGTTTTATAAGTCCCCGAACTGTCTAACTCTAACGCTTAAAGTTGTATAAGTCCCCGATCTTTC